GTGTGTTCGAGGTCCGTCCACGTCGTGGTGAGTGTCAGCACCTCCCACCTCTTCGTGGCCGAGTGACGCCCCGTTCTGTTTTGGCCGTCTCTTCGTCATCTGGGGGACATTGGGTTCTTCGCTCTTCTGGCTGTTGGGGACAGGCGTCAGTGCAGATGTCCTCATCCCTTCTCTGGGAGTTGCAGAGGAGAAGCCTCGCCTTTTCCTCCATGCTCCTCGGTTCTCCGTGGGGGCCCTGGGGTGTAGACGGGAGGCAGGATCGGGAGCTAGATGAGCAGAGTATTAGCGCCCGAGGGCTGGGGCGGGGGCTGGGGCGCAGCACCTGGGCGCGTGGCGTGGGTCGGGGCGGTTCTCAGGGCAGCTGTTGTGGGCAGGCGGTGGAGGGGGTGCTGGTGGGGGGCGAGGCGCTTGGCGGTTGTGTGCAGATCGGCGCTGTCGCGTCGTGTCGCCCTTCGGGGGCGGGGGCACCCTCACAGGCTTTGCGCGCTGCTCGCCGGCAGGCGGAGGCAGAGAGCTCATCCTGTGCCGGCTTCTCTCACTTGTCTGCGGCTCAGTTCTCCTGCCAGAGCAGCAGACTTTGGGGTGGCATTCCCTGAACCCCTCCAGAGTGTGCCTGGAGTGAGTCGCTGGGCCACGTGGTGACACCCCGTACCTTCGGAGGAACCGCCGACGTCCAGAGTGGCTGCTCCGGCTCACGTTCCCGCCGACACACCGCGTCCTTCCTGCACCTGCACGCGGTGTCCCTTTGGTCGTGGCCCTTCCGCGGTCACGAAGCGGGATCCTGCGGAGCTCGCCACTGCCTCCCTCTCCCCCGACGTCAGCATCTTTCACATACTCGTCGCCATTTGCGCACCTCTGGGGAGGTGTCCGTTCAGGCCCTCCGCCCGCTTCGGGGTGGGGCTCCTTGCTGTCCGCGTGTCGTTGTCGTGAGAGCCGTCTGCGTAGTCTGGACGCGAGACACACGTGACTCGCGATGTCTTTCCGTTTCCGTTAACTTTTCACTTTGTCAGTAACGTCCTTTGAAGCACAGAAGCATTTTATTTTGACGGAGTCGTTTATTTTCTGTCTCGTTGCTTGTGCTCTCGGTGTCTCAGCTCGGGAATCGCGTGCAGTCCAGGGTAACGGGTTTACCCCTGCGTTTTCTGAGACGTTCAGCTCTTACGTTTAAGGTCTTTGATCGGTTTTGAGTTCATTTTTGCATATGGCGTGAGATAGGTGTACGACTTTATTCTTTTGTGTGTGGCTATCCAGTTCTTGCAGTTTGTCGAAAACACTGTTCATTCCCCATGGAATTGTTCTGTCACATTTGTGAAAACTCAGTTGGTTGTAAATGTGTGCGTTTTTTTTTTTTTTTGGATTCTCGATTCTGTTCTTTTGTTTTAAATGTTCAGCTTTATGTCAGCACCACGCTGTTTTGATGACGGTAGCTTTGTAGTGACTTCAAAATTAGGAATTCTCTTGCGATTTCCTTTTGAGATTGTCTTGGCTGTTCTGGGTCCCTCGAGCTTTCTTGATTTCTGGAATCTGTCGGTGTCTGCACGGAAGGGTCTGATGGCCTGCGGTGTCTGCATCAGCCGGGGGAGCTGGCATCCGACGCATGAGCCTTCTGAGCCGTTAGTGGAGGCTGTCTTTCCACCTGCTTAGAAATTCTTCAGTTTCTTTCAACACATTTTGTGCTTTTTCAACATTTGAACTGTTTTTACTGAATTTAACCCCAAGTATTTCATTCTTTTTGATGCTCTCTGTATATGGAGTTGTGTTCTTAATTTCCTGTTTGGTTTAATTGCTAGTATTTAGTAATGAAATAGGTTTTACATGTTGCTCTTGTGATCTGTTACCTTGCTGAACTCGTTTATTAGTTCACATTTTTACTGGATTTTTTAGTGTCTTCTATGTCCATGATTATGTCATCTGCCAGAAGAAATAGCTTCGTTTCTTCCTGTCCAGTTGGGATGCCTTTATTTCATTTTCTTGCCCTGACGAGAACGTCCAGTGCCACCATGCAGAGCTGTGGCGAGAGTGTGTGTCCTGTCATGTCACCATTAAGGGGTGTTGGTAGATGCTTTTTTGAGCAAGTTCCACTTTTTTCCTAGTTTTTTGGCTTTGTAAAGAAATTTGGGGTATCGTATACCACAAAATATCCCCATTTCAAGTGCTCCGTTCAGTTGTTCAGTGGTATGTTCACAAAGTCTAGTTCCAGGGCATTTGCATCACCCAAAAGGAAACCCCGTCCCCACCAGCAGTCACCCCCACCCCTCCCCAGCCCCTGGCACCACTCGCCCACTTCCTGTCTGTGGACGTGCTTGTTCTGGACGTGTCACATAAATGGGGTCACACTGCGTGGCCTGTGTGTCTGGCGTCGCTCATCGAGCGTTGTGTGTTCAGGGTCCGTCCACGTAGTGGTGAGTGCCAGCGCCTCCCCCACTGTCATAGCTGAATGACACTGCCCGGTGTGGACGGGCGTGCTGTGTGTGTCCTTCACCCGCAGATGGACGCGCGAGTTGTTTTACCTTTCGGCTGCGTGAGTCTGCTGCCGTGAGCATGCGTGGTCGGCGTGGGTGTGTGTTTCCAGTTCTCTTGGGGTCGTACCCTGGAGTAGAGTTAAATGCTGGTCATTCGGTGACTCTTTACTTTTGGAGGAGATGCCCGATTTCCCCAAAGCCGCTATGTGCCTTCTGAAGATTCAAGTTCCTGGAGCCTGGGACCCTTGTCCCCATGGACTGCTGTGTCTGGCACAGGCGGCGGTGAATGCTGCTGGGTATGTGCAGCAGGGCCGTGTGTGGACCAGGTCACCTAGTCCCTGTGTCCTGGGCAGGCGACAACCGCTGCTGGCTCCTGACTGTGCCAGGCTCATCACAGCCCCCGTGGGTGCTGTTTCCCTCCTCAGAGGTGAGGATCCCGGGGTACCAGTGTCCACAGATCTCTGTGGGTGACTCGGGGCGGGGGAGCGACTCCCGCAGCCGCAGGACTCACTCTCTGTGCCTGTTGCTGCTCCCGCCTCTGCAGCCGCTCAAGTTCACGCGCAGTCCCCTCCTTCCCCAGCCTGGAGGGGGCTGCTCCCTGAAGTCCCCGGGAGCACGGAGGCTTCTGGGCTGCCAAGCTGACCCTGCCTTCTTCCTCCGCAGGCCTCCTCACTGGAGGGGCAGAGCCCTCGCGTGGCCCCCCGCCTCAGCCCCGGCCTGTGCACCAGGGAGCCCGGCTTGCCGACAGCAGCAGGTGCCTCCCCCGCCCCCGCCGCCTCCTGCCCCGGGTCGTTGCAGCCCTGAGGGACAGGGCTCGCTCAGCCCAGCGCAACAGACGGCGCACTGGCCCCTAGAGTCCAGATGAGTGTGGACACAGTGGCCCGACTGTTTCCTGTTCTCCGGTGGGGCTGGGTGGCCAGGGGGGACCAGAGTCCTGCTTCTGGGCACCCGTGTCCGAGAGAAAAGCGGGGCCGAGGAGGTCCGAGTGGGTGCTGGGGGGGCACCATCCCTGGGTGCCCTGCACCTGCCTTGAGCTGGCCGCCTGCCCCCCACCCCCGCCTGGCCCTGCAGCACCCCCTCGTCCCCGCTCTGCTTCAGACCCGTGGGGAGGAGCAGCCTTGGCCTTCTCAGCTCGGCTAGTGCTGATGGAGACTTAGCTATGTTTTTTGTTTCTTTGTTTCTTTTAAAATTCACTTTATTGAAACCTAAGAAGGAGAGAGAGCAGTGAGCACTCCTGGCCCTCTGGGGGGAACCCCAAATCTGGTAACACCCAGCACCCGTTGGGCCGGGCATGCGACCCTGCTGTGCCCTGCTGAAGGAGAAGGGACAGGTGTTCGTTGGGCCTACTGTGTGCTGCCCGTTGGTGTTTTCACACTGTGCCCGTCCCCACTGTGACTCACGGAGGTGGGTGTGCAGCGTCACCCCTGCATTTCTGGAGCCGAGGGGCTTACTCAGGCCCTGCAGGTGCTGTGGGGCCAGGCGTGGTCCTTGTGCCCGTCCCACGCTGGCTCCCCCGGCGCTCATCTCACCTGTGTCCCCCTGCCGTCTCCCCAGACCCTCGCAGACATCCCCCCGGAAAACACATCCCCACACCCCGGAATCCGTGCGCAGTTAGCCAGGTGTGCTCTTCTGTGGCAGTTCCCACGAGGCGACTGACACTGCCGAGCAGCAGCGTGTACACACGCGCACACACGCACACGCGCGCAGGCCCATGCACACGCCCACGCACGCACACGCCCATGCACGCACACGCCCATGCACGCCCACGCACACACACGCCGCGGGCTTCGTCCCTACTGGCACCGGGGCCTCTGTCGCGTCCGTTGCCCCAGCCGTCTTCGGTCTCAGCGGGAGGATGGGGCCGGGCGGGCCGGGCCGGGGCGCTCACACAGCTGTGTCCCCTCCACAGGGGTGTCCATGGCCTCTGCAGACCAGCAGTTCAGCCTCGCGGAGATCCTGTCGCAAACCTACGGCGTCCGGGAGGAGTGCGAGGAGGCCGTGAGGCGCCCAGAGCAGCGGGAGGAGGGGCCGGACAAGGACTTCGTCTCCCAGGTAGCGTGCGCGCGGCCCCGCTGGGCTGGGCTGGGCTGGTCCTGCAGCCACCGGTCCTGCTTCCCGCCTGTGCTGGGAGCTGCGGTCACAGGACAGGACAGACCGGGTCCTGCCTTCAGGGGCTCTGGGGCTGTAGACCCGTGGGCGGGCTGGACGCTGACCCTGCCATTCTCAGTGTTTGGCCTCGGAGTCCCTTGTGCTCTTGGAAGTGGCCGAGGGTCTGGAGCAGCTGAGCTGATGCAGCGTGCGCAGTCAGCCGCCTGTTAGGAATAACTGTTTTTGTAGAAATGAATGAAAAACATTCATTTTCCAAAACGACGAAGGGTAGGGAGGAGTAGAACGTTGGCACTTGGTAGCTCGGGTCTGGACGTGCTCCTTGGGTCGCTGGGTGCGTCCGGCCTGACGCCGGTGTCGTGGGGAAGGGAGGGGCGTCCCCAGCCCTTTCAGACAGCGGTGGCCGTTCTGCGACGCTGGACCACAAGCCGGCAGCTGGCCCTTTGGGAGCGGGCGGCAGAGCGTGTTCTCCAGCCACACCAGGGAGCCTGGGTACCTGCTAGGTCACTGCCACTGGCCTCGAACCCAGTGTGGCTCTTCCCCTGGGCGTGATCCTGTTGCTTCTGCGCTGACGACGTGTTCGCACAGCCTCGTTCCTCCACGGATGGCTCTTGCACTTGCTGACAGAGTTCACAGCGTGAAATCTTAGGCGCGTTGTTACTGCCCTGGGCTGGGGCTCACACACCGGGGCCAGGAGCCGCAGGTCAGGGTCTGGCAGGGCTGTCTGTGGGACCCCCTGCTGGCCCCGGGACCCTCAACCTGGTGAGACCTCCCCTGTTGTGTTGGGCCCACCTCTGTCCCCATTCCACCCCTTTTTGGCCCGTCTCCCAGAGCAGTGATGTGGGCTTAAGGAGGGCTGGTGCGTGCTGGGGACACAGATGGGTGGTCCTTACTGGTGTCCACGCCCACCTTATCAGATGCTTGTCAACTGTGGTGAAGTTTTTCCTTAGGGACTAATCACAGGGTATTTGTTTATCCTGGTGCCATTTATCACTTGGTGCCAGTTCGGTGTTACAACCCAAAAAAAGGTCAAAGCTCCAAAACTCGAATCAGCTATTTGTTAGCTAAGTATCTAGACGTGGATTTTCTTCAGGTGTAATTCAGATGTCGATTTAATTCACATGTAACCGATTGAGGAAGAACGTGAAGTCCGAGGTAAAAGCGAAGCACTGCCACCCTGTGTCACCTTGGGGAGGTGGAAGGCACCTGTCAGCGTCAAGTGGTCAGATCTGTTTCCCAGAACCAGAATTTTTTTGCCTAAAAGCTCGAGTGTCCCTAGCAGCACCAGTCCGTTGTTCTCTGGGACGCTGCCGCCCGGGGGTCTGTGTCTGGGTGCCATCTGTCCACTGTCCCTTTGAGGGAGGACAATGTCACCACAAGCTTCGGCTCCCCGTGGTGTGCTGCGGGGTGTGGCCGCACTTCCTGCCTGCTGCCGGCTTCCTCACACGGAATCCGAGCGGCACCTGCCTGGGCGGGCTCTGCTTAGACCGCTGACCTCACACGGGTGGCCCTAAGGGAAGCCGGCATCTGGAAAGCTGGGGTGGTGGCGAGGGGCGCACCCTGGCTCGTGCACTTGGCTTCTGCTATTGGCACACGTGCCAGCTCTGGGCCGTGGGTGTCCCTTCCCCTCGCCGCCCTGCTCAGGCCCCCGGGAGCCCGGGCATCGGGAGCTGTGGGCAGCCGGACTCCTCCGTCCCGCGTCCCGGGGAGCAGAAGTCGGGGCTGGGTTTCCAGGGCAGGCGCCCCTGCGAGGAAGGGCCAGGAGTCCCCGCACGGGGGCCGGCGGGAGTTGGGGTGGAAGGCACTGGCCTTGCGGAGGGGACTTGAGAGCACCGGTGGGGGCGGTGGCTTCTTCCTTCCCGGTGCTTGAGCGTCTCAGTTCTGTTTCTTGTGCTTTGGCGCGAGGCGTCGGAACCGCGTGCGTGACCGCGCCGCCTCGAGCCTGCTCCTGTTCCAGCCGCGATGGGGTCGCTCTGGCCACCCACCGCTGCTGGGTGGGGGCTGACCACACCGCCGTGGCCCTGCCGGGCCCCGTCTCCGTACGTGCTGCTCTGAGGGCTTCGCGGGCTAGGTGGACGCTCAGTGTCTCCGGAGCCCATCCCGAACCTGCGCAGGGTCGTGTGTCTCTGCCCTCGTTCATCGACATCCCGAGCGCGTAGGGTTCCCGGTAGTGGGTGTCCTCGCCGGTGTGAGCGGGGAGGCTCCCCGAGTGGCGGGTGTGGGCCCTTCAGGCACAGACCTTGGGCACAGCTGACCCCTTTGGGGTGTCTTCCAGGTGTCTCTCCTGGGGTCTGGCCAAGGTGCGTTGCTGTGAGTGTGACCAACTGGCCCTGGTTGTGGCCCGGTGGTCACATTCACGGTACGGGGAGCAGCCCCCAGAGCAGCCCACCGACAGAGCCTGTCCCCCTCAGAGCAGTGACATGCCCCTGGACGAGCTGCTCGCCCTCTACGGCTATGAGGCGTCAGACCCCATCTCGGAGCGGGACAGTGAGGGCAGCGACACCACGGCCCACCTCCCGGACATGACTCTGGACAAGGTGACGGTCTCCCCGGGACCGGCCGGAGGGTTCGGGGAGGCGGCAGAGCTGTCAGCAGTGGGAGGTCCGGATGACCGTGGGCCCTGCCCTCCTGCTCCCCAGAATCAGCCGGCTCCTAGTGGCCACCGGGAGGGGCTGGGACGGGAGACCCTGACACCGCCAAAGGAGGGGCCGAGGGGAGACTGGCCTGGGGCCACGCAGCTGGTGGGGGCAGACAGGGGAGGCCGTGACCCTGGTCCAAAGGGGGCGGGGCTGTCGTCACCGTGGGACAGCAGACGCACAGGGAGGAGGCAAGGGCAGGTCGTGTCTGTCCCCAGCTGTCTAGGCGACGCCCCTGCCCGGACCGCAGGGCTGTGGCTTGGGGACCACACTCGTCTGTGCTGAGGGCCCGGCCTCGTCTGTGGAGTGGGCCGAGTGGCCCCCATGAGCAAGGCTCGTCCGGGCCTGGGCGCCATCTCTGTTGTTGTTGTGTGACCATGAGGCCACTGAGACAAACCGCAAAAACGTTCTCTGCTTTCTTGTCAAAAGGAACAAATAGCGAAGGATTTGCTTTCAGGGGAAGAAGAGGAAGAGACACAGTCCTTGGCTGACGATCTCACCCCGTCCGTGACCTCCCACGCAGCCTCTGACCTTTTCCGGACCCAGAGCGCGTGTAGGTGTCCTGTCCACTCTTGCACGTAGCTGGGCCCAGCAGGGTTCTGGTGATGCAGACGGAGGGCCCTGGCCGCAGGGGCCGAGCGCTCGGGCACAGACGCCCCGCGGATACCTTGTTCTGGGTCTGGGCCCTGTTGGGGTTCCCGTCTCCCTGGCCTGTGAGCTGAGACCCGGGGAGGATGTGCAAGTCCCCGCGGCCACGAGCTGTCAGGTTCAGGGCGGCGTCCTCAGGCCTCTCCCCGGCCCTCCCTCCATGGTGCCTGCCCCTGTGCCCGCTCTCCGCATGCCCCGCCTGCTGGGGCCCGGGACCCGCCTCTTCTCAGGAGGGGAAAGGGGTGGCTGCTGTAGCAGTGGAGCCTCTGGGGCCCACTAACCTGGGTGGCCACCCTGTGCCACGGGTGTGTCACCTGCTCCATTTTTCCCAAAGCCCGCTTCCTGCCTGGCACAGACAAGGAGCTGTCTGACACCGAGGAGGACCCTCTTCCTGCCAACAAGTGTAAGAAGGTGTGTGGCCTCCCGCTTCTTGCGGGTGGGCAGGGTGGGACCCAGTGCAGTGCCGCGACCTCGAGCCCGTGTTGCTGTGGCCACTGCCGGCCCAGGGGCTGTGGTCCCAAGGGGCTGTCCTGGACGCCGGGGTCCTTGGGCCCCACCAACTTTGCCCCATGACTGGTCACGCTGGACAGACAAGTGGATGAGGACACACGACCGCTCACACCCACACACCCAGCCTTCTGTGTCCCGCCCTCAGGCCATAGGACTCCGCATCTGTGGGCAGGTCGCACAGACTAGCCCAAGCCCGGGCCCTTGTCAGCATCACGTCCAGCCTCCTGCCCGCCCCGACCCCTCGGCCTCTGTCTTTGCAGGAGATCATGGTAGGACCTCAGTTCCAAGCTGACCTCAGCAACTTGCACATGAGCCGCCATTGTGAGAAGTGTAAGTGGGGCTGGGTCTTGGGGGGACAGAGGGAACCCCACAGCTTGGTGCCACCCAGCCAGAGCCAGTCCCCAAACTCCATGGGGTGAGACAGAATGAGGGCCGGGCACGGGAGGGCTGGATGCACTCGCTCCGCTGTGGTCCGCTTGGGTAAAAGTTTGGGACCGGAAGGCGTAGCTGAGCCGGGTCACCAGGCACCTGCAAGTGAGTGTGAGTCCAGCCACACACGGGCCTCCCCGGATGTAGGTGGCCGTGCACACGCTCCCCGTTGGACCCTGCGTGTGGTGCGTCCTCTCACGGGCTGCCCTGCAGGCAGCCGTCGTCCTTGGTCCCGTGGGGATGTTCCCCCTTCATCTTACACTGAGATTAAGTTCACGCAGGTGGCGCGTTCTCTCTGTGGACATCTTACGTCGAGTGTCTCTTTTGTCGTGATTACGACTGTCCCCAGGCTTGTCCTAGTGGACACTTGCTCCTGGATGGATGGCTGAGAGGCACACAGTGGCCAGTGTTGGGTGTGTGGGTCCCGTTCAGGGGTCCCGCCAGTGGCCTGCGGGTGCTGCACTGGCCCGCATCCCAGCGACACGCGGTATCGCCCTTGTCGATTTCACCAGTGTGGTTGGTGTGGGCGGCGGCTCGCGGTGGTTCATTTGCATTTCTCAGATGAGTAACATGTTCCCTGGCCACTTGGTTATGTCCCGTGAGGGGCCTGCTCGAGGCTTTGCCTGTTTTCAGGTTGGGTTGTGTTTCTTTCTCTCTCTCTGATTTGTGGGTCCCCCTTGGTCCTGTACCTCCATGCTTTCCCCAGAGGCCTGGAAGGCTTTGTGTTCCCTTTAATTTGAAAGCCATGACGTCACCTGACTCTATCCTAATTTTAAGTTGGATACTCTGGTTTCCCTTCAGATCGCATAAATCTGTCACCTTTTACTAATTTTTGGTTGGCAGCGAGCTGGGGCGGGGTCTCACTGCCCTCGGCAGGGGTGCGGGAAGCCCCTTCTTCTGTTGTCGGAGAACGTGTGTGACATTGTCACCGTTTCTACTCTGAGTGTTCAGAAGCGGCCTCAGTAAAGCCGTCGGAGCCTGGAGTTTGGTTTTGTTTTTGTGGAAGACTCTAAATTACGAACTGGGTGTATTTAATGACACGGTCTGATCTGGAGGTTGTTTCTGGTTTGACGCGTTGCATTCTCGAGATATTCGTCACTTTGATAACTTTAACTTCGTCGTAACAAAGGTCACACTCTCTGACCTTCCTGATTCCCACCCGGCCGTGCCTGTCCCCTTGTCGCGCCCCGATGTTGGTGTAGGCGTCTCGTGTTTCCTCCGGTCAGTCTCAGGCGTCTGTTCCTTCGCAGGTTTCCTGGGCTCGTTCTGTTCCGTCTCCGGACCTGGGGCCTTCCGGGTCGCCCTGCCGTCCCTGGTTTCCTGTTGGATCCCAGAGAACGTGCTTTGTGACCTCGGCCCTTCCTTCGAACCAAGCCGAGCCGGGTTCCATGACCCGTATTCGGTCTGTTTTGGTAAAGGCGCCTTTCCCTGTGCTTGTGTTTGAAGTGTGTTTCCCATAAATGCCTTTCAGGAGCGTGTTCGTTCCAGTTACGTTTTGGACTATTTTTCTCGTAATCGTGGAGACGGTTTGGATTAAGTCACCGTCTTCTGTGGGTTTTCTACTCGTTCTAGTTTTTCCATCTTTTTGATTAATCCGGTAGTTGTGTTCCGTGTTCCTTCTCTGAGGTCGTGGCTTGGATTTCTGCAGTATCTTCAGTGGCCCTAGTTTATTGAGAGAAGCGCGTCCTCGTCCCCTCGCTCCCTGCCGCTGTGGGCGCTGCACGGTCACGGTCACGGTCACGGTGGCCGCGCAGTGCCGCGCCCAGTGGATAGTGCGGCGCCCAGTGGGTGCTCCTGTCGGGTGTGCAGAGCGGCGGGTGGGCACTGTCCCCCCCCTCAGCTTCCGCCGGGGACGTGGCCTTCTGCCCCCAGACCGGCTTCTCCGCCTTCCCCGTGACGATGCCGCGTCCCCGCAGCGCCCGCTCGCGCTCCGTCTCGCTGTCCCTTGGGAAGAGCCCCCCGGGGCCCTGGCCTCCGGACGTGCCGCTTCCTCTCACTGGGGAGCCGCTTCGTCCTGTCGTTTCTGTGAGAGTCGGACGCTCGTCTTACTGTTTCCGCTGAAACCCCCGTCTGCCTCCCCCGCAGCCACTTTCGTTTCTCTCTTGTCGCCTTGCGGTCTGACTGGGTGAGCCCAGGGGTGGTGTTCTTTGTGTTTACGAGCCCGAGTTCCTTGGACGTGTCGTTTGGCGTCCGGTATCCGCTTCGGAGAACTCGAGTTCTTTCTGGTCTGAGGCGGCGTGGCCGCTGCTCGCCGGGCCGCTGTTAAGCTCGCTCACAAATCCACAGTTGTGCATCCCACGCAGTTGTGCATCCCACACAGTTGTGCATCCCACACAGTTGTGCATCGCACACAGTTGTGCATCCCAGGTCTGGAAAGGCCCCTGTGGTTCTTGAAAGTCCCGTCCCGGCTGCTCGCTCTGCTTTGCCGGCGCTGCGGGCTCACTGCCTCCGTCCCCAGTTCTCGTTCCGCGTGCTCGGTAGATGGACCATGGCTCCAGGGCGCTGCCGCTTGTCTCTGGAGAGGGCCTGCTGCCCGCCGGGCTGGCCGACCGGTCCCGGCAGGGACTCGTGTCGACGTGGACGTGGGGGCCCAGGCTGCCATGGCCCTCAGCACCAGCCGGGACGCGCTGGTTCCCGGGCAGCTGCGCAGAGACGGCGACATGGAGCCGCCCCGCGTGTGCGTGTTCCACGTCCTGGCCGCCTCGTGGCTCGTTTGTGTGGTCGTTTCTGGTCCCCGTGACTCTTCTCTGGACAGCTAAGAGGTGTTGGCACTGGGGCTTCCCTGAGCTCCCCTCTGCCTCTTCCTGGTCACATCCCCCCTCCCAGCTGGGGCTCCCCCACAAGCGGGTTTCAGGCGAAGTCGACGTTCTGTCTCCGTGGTGCACGGGGACTCGCCTCCGCCGCACAGAGCACACGGCTTCATGGCGCGCGCGGTGCCGTGAGCGGAGTGGTTGTGGTCTAAGCGACACCCCGGGGCCCAGGTCTCACTGTCGTCATCAAGTCGCCTCTTCACACTGCTCCCTCGGGACTCTGCAGCCTCCCTGCACCCGTCACAACCTCCCTCCCAGAGGCCTCGCTCAGCAGGCCTCCTGCAGGAGGCCGCCCTGTGTTTCCTGGCTGGGAAGCACCCGGCCGACTCCCACAGCTTCCCGCCCTTGGTGGTCATCCTGACCTGGACTGGACGGGTGCAGAGGGGTGGGCCCAGGCCACAGACCACACACTCCCATCAGTACCCGTCCTCTGGAGCTGTGCCAGCCAGCCTGGCAGAGGCGTGGTGGGGGGGGCCCTGTGCTCTCCTGGCCAGGTGTGGACCACGGGCCCCAGCTGACCCTGGTCCCCCCGCTGCACAGTGTACGAGAACGAAGACCAGCTGCTCTGGGACCCCAATGTCCTCCCGGAGAGGGAGGTGGAGGAGTTCCTGTATCGCGCGGTCACGCGGCGGTGGCATGAGATGCCCGGCTCGCAGCTCCCGGCGGGGGAGACGGTGAAGGACAGTGAGCAGGTACGCAGGGTGCTGGGCGGACGAACGCCCCCGCTGTCCCCGCCTGGGGGTGGTGTGAACGTCCCTGATGTCTGTGCCCGCCTGATGGTGGTATGAACACCCAGTGTCCCCACCTGGTGGTACGAATGCACGTTGTCCCCGCCTGATGGCAGCATGAATGCCGCCAGTGTCCCCACCCAGTGGTGGTGTGAACACCCTATGTCCCCGCCTGATGGTGGTGTGAACACGGCTGGTGCCCAGGGGTGAGCCGGTGGGAAGAGGCTCTCACTCCCGCAGGCACTGTACGAGCTGGTGAAGTGCAGCTTCAACGCGGAGGAGGCCCTGCGGAGGCTGAGGTTCAACGTGAAGGTCATCCGAGGTGAGCGCCCGCCCTGCCTGACGCACCCTCGGCAGCCGCCCGTTCTGGGCAGTGCTGACGCCCCCCCTCCCCACTTGCAGACGGGCTCTGTGCATGGAGCGAGGAGGAGCGCAGGCACTTCGAGCACGGCTTCCGCGTGCACGGGAAGAACTTCCACCTGATCCAGGCCAACAAGGTGAGGGCGCCGCCCGCCCCACGCCGCCGGGGGCCCGGGCTCCAGGGGGCCGCACGGGACGCCCTCCGCCCCACGGCACGAGGTCGGGACTCCGCTCACCAGGCTCCTGCGATGCGACCGTGAAAGCCCCGCTTCCTGCCTCGCACGCTGCACGCCCCTGTCACCTTGCCCTGGTCTGCTCTGCCAGGCCGCGCCCCGTCCCCCAGAGGAGGCCGAGTTGCAGGAAGGGTCCTGCTTGCAGGTGCACCTTAGCGGATGTGCCGTCTTCCGTTCGCTGCTGCGGTCGTGGGCACTGCCTGCCTCGCCCCCTCCCTGTAGCAGAGCGTGTTGGCTCAGCCCCCACTGCTGATGCTACAGCGCTGACCCCGGTCTGCACCCCACCCTCGGCCCCTAGCCCTGGGAGCACAGGGCTCCTAGTTCGGTCAGACCAAAGAAATGGCTTCTTCCTGCCACCCGTAGCAAACATCCAGGACCAGAGGGACTGCCCGGTGCCAATTCTCTGCCCTCCCCTGGGCCTGAGTCCCCCCGTCCTCCCCTAGAACAAGGTTCCTCTGCCTGGGCCACTGGCTGGATAGGTTCCCCTGACTATGTCAGAGCCCGAGTCTCCGGTCCGTCTCCCCGCAGCCCCCCCCCCTCGGTGGTGTCCCTGTCTTTCAGGGGCAGCCTCGGCCCCTTCTCGCTGCTCGCGGCGACACAGCCTGTAGAGAAGCGGGCCGGGCTGGCACCTGGCTCACGTTTGCTGCCTCACAGCCTCTCCTGGGAGGTTGAAGTCAAGGAGGTGCCTGTGCTGGGCCAGCGTGGGGACAGGGCGGTGCCCGGCATTGTCTCTGGCACTCGGTCCTCTGGGCAGGCCAGCGCCACGGGGCGGCTGCTGCGAGCAAAGTCTCACTCGCACCGACTTCATGTGCCTGTCTCTGGTCACCACGCGAGTTTTAAGTTTGCACCTGCGCTGGTCCAGTGAGGCTGGGACGCCTCTCCCGGCCATAGGGGACAGCGCCTGTGTTCCCCGCTCCCCCCCACTGCCCCGGGTCCCAGGCCTCCCTGGGCTCCGGTGTCTGTCCTTGTCCTGGGACCAGCAGGGTGCTGTGGGGGCCCTCCAGAGGGGGACACGACCCATGCCGCCCCATGGGGCTTGGCCAGGTGGCATCCAGCCCCACGTCCGCCCTCGTCTCTGGGCGCTCACGTGTGAACGGAACCGGGTTCGTGAGGCCTAGTGCAGCCCGGAGCGGCGCCGCCGTGCTCAGGGATGGCTCTTCTGGGGTGCCGGTGACGCTCGTGGCAGAAGCGTGCGGCCGGGCCGTATGCCACCCTCTCTGGGTGGGGCCCTGCCCCTGCTGTTGTTTCTCTGCTGGGCTCGTGACAAGCGGGGGGCCCAGGTGGATGCTGCCTGGTGGTCTGGGGCAAAAGACAGACCTAGTGTGAAGGACGGGCCCCGTGCGGGCAGGCGGCGGGGCGGAGCCGGCACACCGTCACGCTCTGGGTGAAGCGAGGCGCCCCAGGGTGGGAGTGGGGGAGGTGCAGAGGGCGGGGGCCCGGGTGACACGCACTGTCCCTCAGGTGCGCACGCGGTCTGTGGGCGAGTGTGTGGAGTACTACTACCTGTGGAAGAAGTCCGAGCGCTACGACTGTTTCTCGCAGCAGACGCGGCTGGGCCGCCGGAAGTACGGCCCGGCAGGACCCACGTACGTGCAGGGCTCCCGAGGGCCCGGGGCTGGGGACACCACAGTCTCGGGCACCTCCCGCCTCAGGCGGCTGTCCACCTGCAGGCCCCCACCGTGTTCTCTTTCTACAGGGACACGGACCAGGACCTGGATGGCAGTGACCATGATGGCCCCGGCCGCCCCCGCTCCTCGCCACCCCTGCCCCCTGCCGCTGATGGCCTGGATCCTGAAGAGGATCCCCTGTCACGCATGCACACAGGTGAGGGTGTGGGCAGGGCTTAGCCCTGGAGGAGCCTTTCCTCACTGGCACCCCGACCTGGGCCAGTGGACACTAAGCTGGCGTTCAGGAGTCAGTGTCACTTCATGCCACGAGGAGTCACCATGTGGGTTGTCGTAGGGGCCTTTTGGTGTTCCATGTGGAGGAGAACCTGTGCGTTCTGCAGCCCAAAGTAGAGGGCCCCTCCCTGGGCCCTTGACAGTGGGGGGGCTCAGCCCCAGCTGCTTCCTGGGAGACCTGGGGGTATCTGAGCCGTCCCCAGCATCCTGGGCCCAGGGCCACGAGAGAGCAAGGCAAGGCTCACGACTTCAGTTTCTGAAGGTGACCACAGAGAGGACAAGGACTTTCGCCCTCTGGGTCTGTCGGACTTGGGTCTAGATTGTGCCCTGGTTCCAGAGTCCGGTTGGTTCCGTGGTTTGACATCCGCCTGTCGCGCACCTGTCCCCGATCACCCTGGCTCGAGCGGTGTCAGTGCTCCCGACTGTCTGCCGAGTTTGAGAACGGGAGTCACGGCCTCCGAGGCAGGGCCTCAGCCGGGTGCACGATTGGTGTAACCGGTGTCCGTGTCCACGCGTGTTTTATGTTTACGTGAAATCGCTGAGGAGCGTCCATGGGCTCCGCTGGGCTCGCACAGCTTGCAGCCTGAGGGCAAAACCAGGTGGTTCAGCTGGTGTCCCTGAGCCGGGGTGGTGGTGGTGGTGGTCCCGGGCAGGCCGGGTGTGGGTGCCGCTGGTCTGGCCTCAGCCGTGTTCTCCCCTGCAGAGCCGCTGAGCGAGGATGGCGCGGCGGGCAGTCTCGCTGAGCCTGAGGACGGCGCCGATGGCCTCCCGTGCTCGGAGCCAGGGCCCTGTCCGTTCCAGCCACTGGACACGCCCCCGGCTGTGCCCCTGCCCCGACGGCCCCCAGCCCTGGCCGAGCCGCCCTCCTGCCCCCCTGCTGCAGCTGCTCCGGAACTCAGTGCCAGCCCCAGACTGGCCGTGGACTTGGCCCTGCCCGGGGCCCTCCCCGCAGAGCTGGCCCTCACCTCCAGCCATGCGGCTCTGGATGGAGAGCCGGAGGAGGCCGTGGCCCCGGCCCAGGTGGCCCTGTCAGTCACTGAGTTTGGACTCCTCGGCATCGGGGACGTGAACCCTTTCCTGGCGGCCCACCCAGCGTGCCCAGCTCCTGGGCTGCACTCGGAGCCCCTGTCACAGTGAGTGCAGCCGCCACCCTGAAGGCGGGCTGGGCGGAGCGGGAGGGGTCAGCCCCAGGGCCCGAGGGGGCGTGGCACATGCAGCAGGCTGTTTGTTTCTTTAGTTCATTCTCTACTTTTAATTTGGCTTATTTATTTTTTTGACTAGGTAATACATTCATATGGTTCAAAATCCACAAAGGTACAAACGGGGCCAGTGGCAGTCTCCTCCCACCCCTGCCCACCCCCCAGGCACACGTGACAACACGGTCTGCTGGGGGAGGCGAGGTCGGGAGCCACGTTGTCAGCCGCGGCGCCCAGCTGTGCCCTTTGCGAGATGGGGCTCACCCTCTCCGTCTCCGTCTCTCCCCCCTGCAGCTGCAACGTGATGACCTGTTGATCCCTGGCCACAGGCGGGCACGTGTGGCCCCGACTGGACTTGGGGCCACTGTGGGGCCTGCCTGTCAGTCTTCCCGACCTTCCTCCTCGTGGGCCTCAGGTGACACCGTCTGCTTCGGAGCTCAAGGGCCGGGGTGAGCGGCGGCCGGGCCACGGGCCCTGACTCTTCCCACACAGGCCGCACCGCCACCGGCTCCAGCCTGCCGCCCGCACCGTGGGGCCGTCGGCAGCTGGGTGCCGCAGGCCAGCCCCGTCCAGCCAGCAGAGGCGAGGAACGGCGTCCCTGCGTCAGGGAGACCAGAGACAGGGCAGGACACCGCCCCCACCAGCAGCCCCCGCCCCGGGCGCACCCCAGCACTCTGCTTGGCTCCCTGTCCCCACACCGGGCAGGACCGTGGGCTGCCCAGCCCAGGGGTCGAGGGGGCAGCTGCTACTCGGTGCCAAACCCTCCCGGGGCACAGCCATATACCTCGACGTCGGCCCCGCCCCCTCGCCCGTCTGTCCACTTCAGGAAGAGCCGCACTTTACGCCCCCCGCCCCACACCGGGGCCCTCAGCAGCCTCGGGCATGGGCTCCGGGGGACAGGCGACTGACGCCCCCTTGGTACGTGGCCCGTCACCTGCAGTGCCGAGGGGCCGGGTTCCAGCCCCTTCTCCCCCGCAGGTGGCTTTTCTGTTGAAGCCCCCCAACAAGATGGTTTGGGGTCCTGGTCCTTCTACCCAGCCTCCCTCGTTCTATTTATGTTTCTGTTTACAAATTGGAGTGGGGTCCTCCAGGGAGGCAGGGCAGCAGTGCTCCTCAGCCCCCGGGTGTCACCAGGAGAGGTTGGCTCGAGCCCATCTGCAGAGTTGGACTCGACTTTCCCTGTCACCCCACCAAGGACCGCACTGTGAAGTGATAACTGCCTTGAACCCCTTTGCTGTTTTATTTATTAAACTTGATTTGAAGCCCCTGGGTGCCTCGCGGAGGGTCGGATGGGGTCACCCTCGTCACTCATTCACTGGCGGGCAGCATTCAGGGACCCGGGCTGTCGTGATCGAGGCGGTATGGGGGCCGTGGTCCGTGTCACGATGGCCAGTGTGAGGGACGTGGCCCGTTGAGTGGAGGAGACGCTCAGGCCGAAACCTGATGGAGAGCCAGCCTGGCCTGGGGACAGCCAGCGCGTCAGGCTGAGGTCACTGAGGGGGACAGGGGTCTGTCCCGAGAAGGGAGCTGAGTGTCGGGGGGAAGGGGGTCGGGGGGCCAGACGTGCAGTTTCAAACCCCCCCGTGCAGGCAGGCTGGGCCGAGGTGGGGGACACGGCGGTGGCTGAGAGCTGGGTCGGAGGCCAGCCGTGTGCAGGGTGTGGGAGAGTCGGTCCCCCTTGCAGAGCTGGTTGTGCCAGCGTTGGGAGCAGCCGTGCCGGGCGGGTGGGACGTGGGGACTCGGAACGACCTTCCCTGGCGTCTCCGAGTGCGTGTCTCGGGGGCCTCGCTCCGCTGCGCCGCTTCCAGCGGGAGGGCGCTGTGCCCGCTCCTTTGTGGTTTTTTCTCACTGCCTGAGAGTGGTTTTTTCCTCCCTCGTTTTGAGCAGTTCGACGTGCAGCATTTTCATAGTGGCTTCCCTCACTTGGTGATAAGCACCAAGGTCTCTGTGTATTCGCAAAGCTGAGAAATGCCCCATCACCTCAGGGACTATGGTGTGTCACCCACTCACCTGCTGGCGGGTGGCCCTAATGGGTGGGCTGCAGCAAGGGGTGCAGGTTCCGTGGACACCCAGGGGCTGAGCCTGGCAGTTGGTCAGAGCCCCGGCAGTGGGCAGGCCTGTGGCTCCATGGCCACTGCCCGCCCCCTGTCCCCCACTGCCGGGAGAGTCCCAGTGCCCCACCCCATCCCCCTGCCCCCACTGCCGGGAGGGTCCCCATCCCCCCTCACTGGTGAAGTCCTTTGTTTTCGGCAGGATAGGCATTTTAAAGGTGGTTCCACTGACGCGTGGTTTTTAGGGAGAAAGTGGCTGTTCTCACCTGTTTTCGTAAATGTGACTCGTCTTTTTTCCTGTGACTTTCTCTCTGGACGCCAGGATTTGAGTGCAGGTGTCCAGTGTGGCTTTCCACGTGGAGGTCCTGGGGCCCGCAGACTGCCGCCCCCTGGACGCCTCTTCCCCCCTCTCCCTTTGAGTCCCCGTGATGTGGGAACGAGGCTGCTGCCCCAGTTCCGTGCGTTTGGTTCTCCGTGTTTCTGTTTCGTTTCTGTGGACTGTTCTCGAGGTCACTGCTCTCTCCCCCACTGTCCAGGCTGCTGTGTGGCCCGTGCCCACGTCCTTTGGCTTATACACGGCGTACCCCCTTGTTCTCCCTTCAGTGCTGAGACTCCCCATGGTCCCCCTCCCCTCTACACTCTCTGACCTCTCTGTGACACCTGTGACAGCAGTACACCTGGGCCACTGTGAGCAGCACACTGAGGTGGTGGGTGCCTGGCGTGACAGGGGCCCCACGAGCCTCCAGAGGTTGGGTGGGCTGTGGCTTTGCCTCGTTGTCCCACCCCTGGAAGTAGCCTGGAGCCTGCTGTGTCCCTTGGCCTTGGCCAAGCCTTCCCTGGAGTGAAGCACCCCCAGAACCCACCCTGCCCTAGCAGTGGTCAGGGAAGGGGGTGGCTCAGAGGTGGACTCCGTGAAGCCACTCCTGGAGAAGAGGAAGCGGCTGGGCCTCACCCTGTGGAAGCCTAGCCCAGACCAAGTCATGGAGCAGCAGCCTCCCAGGTGACCTTGGCCTGGGGGCTAAGTTGTTCATCGATCACTAGGCCACTTTTCATTCGGTGAGTGTTGATTGGTTGGTTGGGCACCCACCATGTATGGGTCCCGGCCCTCCTGGGGCCCAGGCTGGGGGAGACTAGGATAAGCTGATAAGCAGAGGGAGGCTGAGGTGGCACTTGTGCTCAGAGGAGGCAGCAGCGGGGAGGGCAGGGCTGAGGTGGCCGACCTCACCCAGGACGGAGGGTTTTCAGGTGCCTGCTCAGGGCTAAAGCTTGGAAGGTCGCCCTGTCGTCCGGGAGTACTCGGGGACTGTGAAGGGGGTCTGAATTCACTGATGCTGGCTTCTGACTCAGAGGTGACCCCAGGACCCCCCGCCGTGTTCTAGACAGTGAGCCCCTCACTGATGTGTCCTAAGGAGACAGGGCCATGTGGTCCCCAGGGGGAGACGACGGCCAGTGTGGCCTCTCTGAGCCCCACGAGAACAGAGGCGAGAGTGGTGGCTGCTTTGGCAGCTCCTCTGTCCACCTCCCAGGCTTCTGTTCCTTGACCCTCTCGACGCTCCATTTGGAAATAAAGACACCTGGAGTCAGCTGGAGCTGAAACAGCAGGGTGATGAGAACTGACCACCTTCTGGGCCAAGTATGACTGCTTGGGGGTGACCACAGGCACCAAGGAGTTGGTTGGGTCTCGAGGGCGCATGGGTGAGGCTCTTGTACCTTCAGTGCCTTTCCAGGCTTGCCGTCCGCAGATGAGGGAGAAGCCATCCCGGCCCATCCGGGCCTGGCTCCCAGCCCAGGCTCGGCCCCGCAGCAGGCCTCCGGCTCTCCCTGCAAAGGGCCAGGCGTGGAAATGTGGGAGACCCCAGCTAGCAGGTGTAGAAGCTCTGACCCCAATCCTAACCCTAATCCTAATCTTTGCTGCTCCGCTAGGTCTTAATCCTGACCCTTCGGGGACAGTTCAATAACAGGCAGAGTGAGGTCGGTGGGGAGGGGCGGAGAGCCACACGGGCTCTGGCCACATGCTCTCCCACTGGCCACTGCGCCCACTTACCAAGAGACGGGCTCCTGCCCACCACGGCCTCTGCCCGAGGAGCCAGCCCTGGAGACCTTTTCTGGCTCCGACATTGCAGCCCCACCCGGGCTGTCCTCACCACCACGCACCCCTTTGGCGCGTTCTGCCCAGCACGCAGTAGGTGCTCAATAAAGAACCCCGCACCTCCTCTGCCTGAACGCGGAGAGATCGCAGCAAGGTTAAAGTGCAAAACACGAAAAAAACACAATACTGATCATGACGCCGGTAGGATTCTCGCCGGGCTTTTCACCTGTTTTGCGGAGTGATTTTGACAACTGCGCTTCGTACCTGTTGCACGAATGGACGAGGGAATGACGGCCGCTTTGCCCGCGCCCGCCCCGCGCTGTGAGTGGCAGCAGGGGGCGCCAACGAGCGGAGTCCGCCTGCCCGGGCAACGAGCGGAGTCCGCGCGGGTCCCGCTGCGCGTGAACGGGCCCTCGCGACAGCCCCACCCCTGCCCGGGCGCTGGGAAACCTTCCCGGCCCGCAGGCTAATTCTCCCGCGCCTTGGAGGAAGTCAGGGGGGGCGAGGGAGGAAGCTGCATGTTTTAGGTTGTACCCCTTTCAGCTCCTCCCGCCCTGCGGTTGGAAAAGGGGGTGATGATGACGTGCCTCCCACACCGCGAACGGAAAAGCCAGGTCCAGAAGTTTCCAGGCAGGGCCTGGTCCTATCCTGGGGGTGGGCCGAGTTACTTTTAGTCTTTTCAGTGCGTGTGTGTGTGTGTGTGTGTGTGTGTGTGTGTGTGTGTGTGTGTTGGGGGGGCGTGGTTGTCTGCCAGCCTGGTTTAGGAAAATTGATCTGGGGCACAGGGGACTTGACCCAGAAGAGACACTCGTCCCTGGACCCCGCCGTCTGGACGATGGCCCTATAGCGGAGGTCTGTTCATCCTTCCAGGAGGCAGGGTCGAGGGGGCTCTGAGTTCAAGTCTCGGTTGCTGGACTTTGGGCCCTGCCACCACCCTCTGCAGGAGGTGGAGGTGGTGGGTGGTGAATGTGGCTTAGAGGTCATGAGCATCAGGCCCTGGGGCCAGGTCACCTGGGTTCCAATCCCAGCCCTCTTCCCACGGAGTGACCTGTGTGTCATGTGTCCTGCCAGGAGACAGTCACTCCCCAAGGCCTCTCAGCCGGATGGGATGAGCCCCTCAGACCTGTTTCCCTGGCTTGGGTGCTCCTGACACCCAGGTGCCTCCCAGCTCAGGGCTCCCCGGGACCCGGTGGGGTACACGGCAGATGCAAACTCCAACCCTGGCACCTCTGGTCTTCCCTCCAACAGGGACAGTAAATGCCGTGGAGGAACAGGGCCTGGCACAGACGGCCTCCAGGAACTTGATCTTCCCAGCTGCCAGGATGTTAAGCATTAGAAGGAAAGAAAACCCTCAGCAGTTAAGCCATGGCCCCCCATCAGCTGTTGTCAGGCACTTTCTGATTCAGGGTATGGGGACGGACACGCACCAGTGCCATTCCCCAGCGAGGGGACCGAGGCTGAGAGAGGCCCAGGGGATGTGTCCTGCTGGAGCCGGACCTCTGACCTCCCCCACGCCAGCAGTGCTGCGGGGTCTCACTCACCCCTCACTCTTCCTTCACCCCTGCCGCGCCCCCAGACTCAGCGGGCTCAGTCTGTGTGGCAACCGGGGCGTCTGAGGCAGATGCTCCGGGTGATCCAGGACTCACTGTCCCTGAGCCTTCGCCTCCTCACCCGGTGGAGGGGGTGGGGATGGGGGCTGGGCGCTGATGACCTATCGTGAGCAAGAAACCGAATGCATCTGTGTCCAGGTTTGTTGAATGTGGCCCTCGCAGGTACCACGCAGGTGAACACGGCACACACAGGGATGCACAGAGGCTCACGCGACAGCGGAGGGGTGGGCGTCAGCGTCTCCACTGCGAGCTCTGTTGCCCGCGCCGGCCGCCGCCCAGGGGTGGACGTGCAGCTCGAGCGAGTGTCGGGCGCGCTCTGGGTCAGGCCCGGGCACCGTGGGTCAGAGGCGCTCAGCGCCCTGGGACCTTACAGGGTGGGGGCCTCCTCTTATCGGCTCCTGCAGGTGCGGCTGCCAGTTCTGTGGTTTTGGGTGGTCCCCGCGTGTGCCAGTCGACATCACTGCCATCGTTCCCTTGCTGTCCATTTTTGTAAAGTCCCAAAGTCCCGGATACTTTGGGCTCTGCGCACCACACGACCCGGGTCAGCTCAGAGGCGGCTCGTCCCGCCCCCACACGCCCTCGCCGGCTCCTTCCTGCGCGGGCTGCCGGGCAGAGTCCGCCCCCTCC